TGTGTGTGTGTGTGTGTGTGTGTGTGTGTGTGTGTTACCTCAAGTACAATAATAAACAAGGAAAATTAATAATAATAATAATAACAAAAAATGATAAAATAGAATAATAATAAAAAACGGTACAGATGCAAACTATCAAATAAAATAATATTTACAATGTCCTTATAAAGTTTCACAGTTTTAACACTTTTTTTCTTTTTTTTTCTTGCTGTAAACATTTTGTAAAGTAGTAATTAAACAAATTAAGTCACAAAGAAAATTCTGCAACTTAGGTATTGATGAAGAAAATTTACATTTGTGAATATAATATTTACCCAGTAAAATAAATACATTGCCTATAAATTCTATGTTATGTTTGTCATGAGAAAAGTAACAAATTATATCACACATGGAAAAATCTATGTTAAACTTACATTTTAATGAAAAATAAATCATACTAAGACACATTAACATGTGAGCATTTGACCAAAACATGATCAATTAATTCGATACTTGAGTTAATATCTTGTTTTCCTTCTGTACATTTCTTTAACAAATGCTTGGCGTTGCTTTAATCGCCTACACATTAAATTGTCCCTTTCAACATTGGCTTGACTTGGGCCTGGCGCTAAGAAGGGAATTTTGGAGTGCGTGTCTGAAAGGTCTCTTGCGTGCTGTAAGATTGCTCGATCTCTACATATCCCTCTAAATAAACGCAGTTCTTGTAAAAGACAAATGCGAGCAGAAACAGCATCTCTACGGGGGGACCGAGCTTAAGTCAATGGAGGCCACCGTCTAGCTCCGCCCCGCATCAACATCACTGCATCTTGAAAATAACGAGGGTAAAATAATCATATTCATTTTTAGAACTCTGATGATTCCAAAATAGAATCCTTCACCTGACGTCATTCAAGTTTAAACGCCGTTTGATCTGACCCGACTGCGCAGTCGCTCTGAAGAACTTTACACAACTTGCAGTCCATTGAATCCAATTAAAAACATGTTATCGTTGTGACAAAATGGGGGGAAATATTATGGCCCACTTTATCTTAAGTGGCCTTAACTACTGTTTACTTTTAAATTAATCATTTTGCACAAGGCACTTGTTATCATTTGTGTTTTTTTTACATTGTGCTTATATTTAAAAATTGTACGGATGTATCCGTAATTAATTTCTATAATTACATGCATAATTATACTGTTGATCCATCTTTTAAACCTTAACCCTTTAGCTGCCTGCTCTACCAAATGGTTGACAATATTCTGACTGTTTTAATAATGGCTTGCACTACAAAGCATTGTTGGTTTACAAAAGAAAATCAAACAAACATAATCCTGTTGCATTACTACACTCGATGTTGGTGTTATTGTAAAAAAGCCTGTTAATATTTAATGGCATACTTCAAAAAACAAATATTTAAAATAATGTTTAAATAAATAATTTTGTATTCAAAAACGTTTTATTTTGATTGTTTTAAGTAAATCGTGCTTATATTTAATTTTTTCTGATTTTCACAGTATGTTAGTACCTTTGCCATTGTTGAGTTGCAGCTGGAAGGTCATCCGCAGCGTGCTGGATAAGTTGGCGGTTCATTTCGCTGTGGCGATCCCTGATTAATAAAGGGTATACGCCGAAAAGAAAATGAACGAATGAATGTATTGATTCCGGTATACTTTTACCATAAACCGACATTTGGTAGAGGTTGATATTTAGTAAATTAACTAGTGTTAACGAGTGACATTAGGAGTTAAGAAATGCAATCCATTTTTTTCCCCTTGGTGGGGCAGTTAAAGGGTTAACCCACCAAATTACCCTTATTCCAGCTCAATAACTCCAAGCGCAGTCTTCACAACAACGACACTATACGTTTTGTTTAAGTTTAATTATACTTGTAAGGTGGGATCAAACATTGGATGTCTTTTCATAGCGCCTGGCACGCTGAACTCATGACTTTGTTGTAATGATGCTCGTCTAGATAGATGCAGGCGTTTAGGACGTTGCAAAAATCAATCAAAAAGCTGAAATTAAAGTCACTTATTCTTTTGTAGTTGTCGTCAATCAAACTAAGGGTTAACTTTGTGCTTAATTAATTCAACTAATACAGAATGAACAGTATTATGTTGACAGTCACCAAACTACATGTGTTTCAAGTGCTTGTCAGGCTTAAAAGGGAAAGGGAAGCAATAGGCGTGAACGTTTTCTGCACATCAGATGAATTCAAATATGTTCCGGAATGTGCCAGGTGACATTAACGACATGATGTAGCCTATATAGGTGCAAATGTTCGACAGCCAAATGTGTTGAGGTGAGCACGGGTGTTCGACTGAAAATATGCATTGGCAAAATGTGATATAATTAGCGTGTTATGTTTGTAAATCATATTTTGACCCTCATTTTCTCCTGCAAACTAGACTTTCTCATTGGCAGACAGCTCAGCCGTTAAAGTAAGTGAAGGCAATTTTCAAGGATAATTGCGAACATGTTTTAATACATATGCATGAAAACCATTTTCTTTTTTTGCGAGAGGGAGAGACTTAACGTGCTTATGCAATTGATTGAGGGGATGACCTGCTATTCAAAATGTTATTTGAGAACTATCAAAATGTGCAGACTTGCAAATTGCCCAGCTTGTATCTGAATTACTACCCCATTCATCATCATTATGGGTTGATAAGTTAATTTAACCATTTCATTCCGTCTTAATGAGCTATAGTTAAATTAATGTCACATAATATATGAAAGCAACATTTGAACAGAAGCGTTCATTTGAGACAAACAAGGGTGGCCATAGTTTCAATTGATGCATAAATCTCCTCATCACAGCCGGTGCTTGTGTTACCACGAACCTTTCCCTTCTGTTCCCTTTAATGGTGTCAACAAAAACAAAGCAAATAGTAAAGCTTTGTTGAGGACTGTTTAACGGGCGATCATTGACTCGGTGTTATCAGCTTATCAGTCGTTGTGTAGGTGTATAAATGAAGACTTAGGCTATGGTTAGACGTGAATTAGATTTTCACTGACAGGCCAAATTTAGCCTGGTTTTAGCCTAGATCAAAATTCACCGGCTATTATACGGATATATTCGTCTATTAAGACCTGTCTAATATTAGGCTATGGTTAGACGTCTATCTTCGCTGACACCCCAAATTAAGCCTAGGCTATGTTTAGACGGCTAATAGACTTTATATATATATATATATATATATATATATATATGCTTTCTGGGTAGTAGATGCGCGTTGTGTTTACTTATTTAAATCACGTTTCATCTGATATAATTCTCCATATTACCAAAAGACCATGTTTTTTTTTATCATTTTTTGGATGCAATTCATTTACAGGAAAATGCATGATAACATATGGCGAGGTAAACCCTATAATATCACCCCCCAGCATAAAAGACTTCATTTATCGTTAGCACGTCGAGCGTTTCAGTTCAATCGCAGCAACTGGATGGGATCACCCTCACCCCTTTCAGACCACCTGAAAATAATACAACCTGACAGCTTTGGGTGGGCTTTACCAAATTATTCTATTACGTATTTGATTAAAAACTGTCTGATTGGCAGCGTTGACTCTCCACGGCACAATGCGTTATATAGTTCTCCAAAAAATGTAGCGCGCAAGTTCAGTCGCAGGGCATCGCTTTGCGCCCGCGATTCGTATTTGTGAAGTTCCACCTTAAAACAACAGTGTTTTGGCCCCACGTGCTCCCTGTAGTTCGGATTTTGTCCTCCCCGCAGCAGCTGTCACCTCGCATTACTCGCAGTCAGCTAAATGAAACATTATTCTAAACATATGCATCGTAATCAGTTCGGTCACACTTACAAGAACACGCGTTAATAAGGCAATCAATCACAGTGGAACAAGCGAGTTGTTCTGCAACAGCTCATAAACAGTGTGTAATGAAGAATTGGAGGTTAGCATGACACGCGCTGATCAGATAATCAATGTCAAAGATGCGATGAATGTCAGTAAATGTAGTTTTTATGTCGTTTCTATAAAATCTCCAATTTACAACAAGCAGTTCAATTACCCAGAAAATACAGTCAATTAAACGGGCGTGATTGGACAGTAGCGGGAGGATCATCGATCTTTGCATTTCTATCTTGCTGGTGGACATTTAATTTGGGTTTTCTATTAGCACCGAAATAAAGAAAAAAATAAAATATATTAAACAACCCGCAGATTTATTTTCTTGTCAGAAGCAATTCGCCTAAGGTGACAGACAGTTTGCTGCATTTTATGATGAATTCTTTTTTCAGTCTTTGCACATTGGATACAAAACTGATGGCGTTATTGTGGCCAGTGTTTTTCTGCCCTCTGTCTTCTCCAGTTTGCCTCTCCATCTATCTCAATGCCTTTGTTGTACGGGTTGTAACCCTCGCCTTGGTAAAGAGCATAACGAAACATGGCGATACATCACACTCTTGCTGCGCCTCTAATCCCATTTCTTTAATGGGGACGTTCAAAAAGAAAGCAACTTATCTCAAAGTCCCCCGGGAGTGTGCCGGTATATATTTAACCAGGCTGCAATTAACGACAGTATCAGCTTGTATCATTTAGAGGTAATGTAAAAATAATGGTAAATTATAGGGCCGGAATGACCCGTGATCGCAGACTCCATATTCCCCATAGTTTTAGTGTCGTTTTAATTAATGCCAGACTCACTTTCTCACTAAGGAGAAAGGGAAAATGTGTTAACAGAGCAGGAGCTCTGCTGTACACTACTGGATACATTTTTTTATCGTTTAAAAAAATATTTTAAAAGGAAAAATTTTAAATACTTAATTTAAAAATCACATTTTTAAAAAATATGCATGAAGCAAATTAAATTTATCTGTGTTTGCAATTCAGAATTTACTCAATCCTAATCAGAAATCGTGCTTAATGTACATGTTTATATAGTGGACATTTGTAAATAAGCTTTTAATTAAAATAGATGTATTTATGCCTCCTTTTTTTGGCATTTGCTCGTTCAGGAAAATACATTGTGCACAATGATAACGATTTTAGAAAGTGCGTTTTAAATATTTATTTTACAATAACAACACCATCAATAAATAACATAATATACATTTTTTTATATTGCACATTTTTCTCAAGTGAAAATATGAAAATTCATACAGTCGGCAATATGTAAAATACAGAGACGTAATGTACAGAGTCGTGTATCACGGCAACCCTTGGGAGAGGAGCAAAACACTGGGATTTTAGTATTGTCATTTATTGAACAGACGGCAACCAGCCCTGTTCTCCAACTCGGTAACATTTATTTATCTATTTTATTTAAAAAAAAAAAAAAAGAAATCTTCTTTCATTTTAAACGGTAACAGCAATGCGATATGCTTTTTATATACAATGGATCAGATCATTTTGGCTTGCGACATGAGGCCTATTTCTTCGCATTTAATTTCTGTAGTGGTGAGGTAATGTCAGATTGAGTAATCCTAACATCTGAAATAAACACCCAGACAGTCACATAAATTATGAGAATAATAATAATATGCAAAAGCTAATCATTTCGGATGGCAGTCAAAATGCATTTGGCTTAATGCAATTTAAACCTATGCGTGTCGTAACAAAATATTTCACCATTTTGATCTGTACAAGTGCTATTTTGCTATCTTTAAAATGAGGTTTTATAGGAAGAATTCCGCCCAGTGACAAAAAAAAATGTATGCAGACAGAAATGCATGAGCAATTTGTCTGAAGTTTGGGGTTGTGTGGATAATCCCATTATATTGTGAGTGAAGAGTCTCTACTGGGAGTATTATGGAAATATCGGTTTGGATTTAATGAGACTGCTCGCATCAGCGGAACATCTCTGAGAGAAAAGTCTACCCAGGCCGGCCAAGGTTCCAATAAGAAGATTGGAAATAGGACTCGGTGGAAAGGGATTTTTTTTTAAATAATAATCATAAAAAAATCTCAGGTAACGAATACCACGTTTAATACTGTACAATCTACACACCAAGAACAATGCGAAATGCTCAAGGTCTTTTATCTATCTTGTCTAATGACTTCCCACAGCGGGTTGTTATGCTTTGACAGCGAGTCTCTGAACGGGAACTTTCTTACATTTCCACATTCAAAGGAGGTCCATCAAGGTACATGATTGGCAATTTTCGTCATAATCTTCACATTATTAACAGCAGAATTGACATTGTAGCAGTAGTGCACATTTTATGCGCCTCACTCCTAGATCATCAGGGAGAGTCCCTCGAGCAGCAACACTTTCAGAATAGCATCGTTACATCTCGCGCCTGGTCCCCTATAACTGATGCTACTAAAGTGGCACAACCAGTGTATAGCTATTCTCTTTACTGCACACGGTGTGGATGTAACCAAAATAACACTTGCATACAGTGCCTAGTATTACAAACAAGCCAAATAATACTTAAAAATAAATTAAACATGTGCCTAGTAATACAAATAAGTCAAATAATACTTAAAATAAAATAAACATGTGCCTAGTAATACTGAAAAGTAAAGCATGTTGGTATAAATAACCGTATTTGATCAAATGTAATAGTGTGTGTGTGTGTGGTGATCTTAAAGGCCTTAACAGTGTATTTTAAATAGATATTTTTGTAATAATTCTGGGCGTACACTGGAATGAAAATGCTGTCCCTTTTGTAATTTAAAAATAATAACAATAATCCTAATAATTGCATGTGCTTTAAATAAAAGAAGTGTGTATGCCAGTAGTGAGCTATCTATTAAGCGCGCTTTCTTCTCTCTGGTCCGGTGAGGGCACCGCGGTTTTGCTGAGGACTGCCGCCGAGTATGGCAAAAATCCGCTCTCAGACCTTTGCCCGGTCGCCGTGCAGGTAAAATCAGAGCTGGAGCTCCTGGAGCCCAGTGCGCTGGCGGCCTGACTGCTGTGGCAGCTGAGACACGAGCACGGCCCGGTAGCCGAGGGCGCGCTGACCGCCGCAGCCGCTGCCGCCGCCGCCGCTGCCGCCGACGCAGCCGCCGAGCTGTTTAAACCAGCGGGTGACTGGTACAGTCCTGGATGTCGAAAGCTACACAGCAGCTCTGGGCGCGAATATGGATGAGAAAGCGCACGGAAAGTATCAAGGGGACGTATAGAGGTAGCAAAAGGTGAGGATGCGGCTCCTGAGGCGGCTGCCGCAGCAGCTGCTGCCGTGACACCGACATGGGGGTAATAGTGTAGTGGCATGTGGGAATGAAAAGGGTAAGGCAGACTTCCGGTGGCGGCGGCGTGCGTCATCATATAGGTGTAGAAGCTGGGATCGGCGGGATGTGGCCAGGACATGGCAAGCCGCTGCCGCTTGTCCTTCATTCGTCGATTCTGAAACCACACCTACACGTATCCACAGAACAGGTAACAATTAGGGATCAGGTGAGCAGGTGGGGAAAATTAAACATCACAGTTTTGAAATCTCATGGCTTGTGTATAAATAATATTTGTAAATTAATGTAGCTGATCTATTGAGAAACGAATTATTATTGTTGTTATTGTTAAGAGAGGAGAAATTGGTGTCACTTGCAATTCGACAAATAGTTTTGCAAATGCAACTAATTTTAATATCTTAGGAGAGCTCAGATGAAAAAGACGGGGTTCTGCATCAGACAAAATAAAATTGTCTGTATTACACAGTGCTTTAGCTACATCCCTGCATTATTTATGTCCACTATATAGAAATATTCTTTATATATATATATATATATATATATATATATATATATATATATATATATATATATAACAGAATGGATTATTATTTTAGATTTGGCAATGGGCATTTAAATGCGTGAATTTATAGTGCTAGAGCATGTAACCAGTTAATATTTGTTTGCTAAACATTATAAATTAGCAGGTACAAATTATATCCTGGTGAACAAAATCAGAGCATTACCTTTATTGTTGTTTCGGGCAGGTTTAATGCTGCGGCTAATTCACATCTCCTGGGTCTCGAGACGTAGTTTTCCCTGTAAAATTCTTTCTCCAGTCTTCCAATCTGCTCTCGGGTAAAAGCAGTCCGGTACCTCCTCACCTGGTCCGAGCTCGAGCTGCTGTTTCCCATGGAATTACCGTTAAGATTCGATAGAGAGGATGAACTTGTATTGGAGCCTCCTGAATTGCTGTCCGAGAAACCTAAATCGGATAACGAAAGAGATACAATTCAAATGTATAAATATTTTACAAATATATTTTGAGGTAAAAAACACATTAATTTGAACATTAAAATAATGAACAAAGAAAATCATGCATTTGTAAAATAAGTTAAATTAAACGGGAACGTTTTGGGATCGCATTACATTTTTTTTACTCAGAGATTCAGTGTAAAATATTTTGAATAAACGAAAGATCTAAAGGAAAAAATAAAATGCAATTACATATACACAATTAAATGCAAACGTTTGCATATATATTTTTTTTAAAACGCTAAATGTGTACACTACATAATGCAACGACAGACAATTTATTTCGATAAATGCATCGACATGCTAGCACTCAGACATTAGGAAAAATGCAACACTAAAATATTACTGAACACACAATAAAAAAAATAAATACTAAGCACATTTAAACCATTAATATAAACCAAATTCTAAAGCAGTTATCTTTAAAAAATAAATATCGACATAAACAAATTGAAAAAAAAACGCCTTTTCACGCAATTTCTTTACCTTTATTGTTGTTCTCCTTGTGTTGGCTGATGCTGCCCGGGGAACGATGAGACGGGCAGCCCACTTCCACATCGCTGTTCATGTCGGAGTCAGGAGAAACTTCAGGATACAGGTTTATTTTCTTCCGGCTTTCGGAGGACGACACTTCTGTTGAGGAAGTGTTGTCGTTGTGGTGGTTCCCAAATAAGCTGTCGATCTCGAACTTGCCTTTGGTGGGAATATCCCCATGCAGCGAGGCGGAAGTTATTCTCGGGCTGAGGCGACCTGCGTGCTGGGAATTTTCCAGGGCCTCGAGCACCGCGTTCCCGGCCGAGTCGGTGAGGTTGGAGAGCCTCTTCCCTGCCACTGGACTGTGTAGTCCCCTTTCCATCAGAATCATTTCTTTTCTTATCCTCTCCATCATGAAGTCGTGCAGAAAAAATCCAAAGTCCCAGGGCTGGTGCTCCGATGACTGGTGGCGGATCTAATCCGCATTCAGCTCAGCTGCCGCCTCTAAATAATATAACACCTTTATGAGCTGGAAGGCAAAAAAAAACAGAGGAATGCCAGTGCGGGCAACGAATGACTGCTCAAAATGACCCGCGCATCCTCTCTGGTCCAGAAAGTCATTCATCAAAAAGTGGTTTGCGCCTTCGTCGTTAAAGGTGCGCGTGACGCGGCTCGAATGATCATTTATTGTAACAGGTTTATAAGCAAATAAATAGGAGAGAGACTGTCATCGGTTGATAGAGTCGGCCCTTGATCGGCCAGACGCGTATATCCAGGTGGAGAGAGAGAGGAGAAGTGAGGAGAGAGCAGCTTCTGATCTGAGTCTGTTTTAGATGGCTCCTGGGGTTGGCCTCTGGGGTGAAATTGACAGTCTGATTAATAAAATGAGCGCGGCAACATTTCCCTCTTCATTTAGGAATATCATTATGCTTTGATTCTCTATTGTTCCTTCCTTCTGTTCTGGCTCTCCCTCTCCCTCTCTCTCTCCCTCTCTGAGCTCTGTTTCTTTTTTCTTTCTCTGTCGATTATTTCACACAGACGTTTTCGAATGAGAGGCATTAGTTAAAGATTTTTTTTTTTTTTTGCATCCAATTAGAAGATCCCGTTGCGAATATGGTTGTTTCTTTTCAAAATAACGATACGGACACATTGCATTTATAGTATTATTATTTAAACGATGCTGTTTTTCTTGTATTTGTTGGAGATTAATTATATATTTTTTTTCTGGAAAAAAACAGCACACATAACTACAAATTTGCGCATTATTAATTGATAAAATTATTTATTATTTTCTTACTGATGGACGTTTTCTAAAATGTGTTTTATTTAGCTGATATTGCTGAAATCAGGAGATGCAATGTTTTTTATTTATTTTTTAATAATGTCATCCTTTTTTTTATTTCTGACAATAAATGACGATGTCGTTTTTAAATACATGTTTAAAATGCATAAACGAAATTAAACATTTATTATAAGACAAGAGAAAAGAAGGAACAAATATGCATGTTTTAGCATTAGGATATACGGATAGCCTAGCATCTGTAATGTGTATTTCTAAATAATTATAGTTTTGCCGGTATCAAAACTCTACAGGGATTATAGCTAATAATAATGATAAATAACAAGTCAAACATCGCTGGTCATATACACACAAGAAATCTGATGCAAATGCAAAAAGCAATAATATTTACTTATTACCGCCCTGCACTGTGAATGCTTGTCATTCAGAGAATTTCTGAAATAAAAATTAAAACAGAAAGTTTATCTATAATTCCGAGGCTATAGTCTGTGCACTCAAATCAAGTGTTAACGCGGGGGCGTAAGCGTCTCTTTAAGGCGAGGTTAAGTTATCCACTTGAGAGAGATAGATAGAGAGAGAGAGAGAGAGAGAGAGAGACTGACCGAAATGCGTACTGAAATATTTTTTGCGTTCTTTGTCGCCCTCGCCAGTTTTTCAACAGATAATACAACACCTCTAATTTCTGTGTGCTCTTCAAATACGTTCTCATAGACAGCCTATATCCAATTAGTGCACTTACCAGTTTGTTCATTTTTAGTATCCTATTAATTATATCTTAATTTTGATACACAGACTCAAATAGCATGTTTGGTTAATAGACAAGAATAAAATAAATAATAATAATAATAATAATAATAATAATAATAATAATGCCTTAAAATAAGATATTGCTATAAACTGTCCCTGATGTGTGTAATTTGACGAGAGCCTTGATCACTTTCCATCCCATTTGTCTGCCAAAATGGACACAAAATAGATTATCAATGTAATTAAATAACAGCACGGTTTGTGAAGTGAATATCCTTTGCAGAAATATTGTAGTATTGTAAAGTAATGCATAGAATATTCATTCATTATTTTTTTCTTTGGTATTCATTTGTCCTTTCAGCTGCAACCCAGTACTGGGAAACATCCATAATTATTCACACACTATGGGCAATTTAGTTCAACAATTCCCCTATAGCGCATGAGTTTGGACTGGGGAAAACCAGTATATAAAAATATATATATATGAAATGCATTTTTATAATTATTTTAAACCTATTTAAAATTATGGCGGATAAGCCTAAGCAAAATGAATTAATTATAAACAAACAAACAAAAAAAAATGTTCTTTACAACAAACCCTAGCGTCGCTAAAACCCAAATTTGTGTGCATTTCTACGTGGAACACGATAGAAGATAAGAGACTTGTTTTACTTGTTTTCATAAGACTGAAAAAAAAAAACAATACTGACTTATTTTTTGTGTTGCACTTAAAAGTTCATACAGGTTATGAATGACATGGTGGGCACACATGAATGACACACGGTATTCTGGAACAATAAGATATCAGTTTTGTGGTTCATCTTCTAAATCAAGTCAGTCGTATTTTAATGCACTTTTCAGATTATCTTTGATCATTTTTTAAGTAAAACATTACAGTCGGGCGGCAAGGTGGCTTAGTGTTTAGCACTGTTGCCTCACAGCAAGAAGGCCGCTAATTCGAGTCCCGGCTGGGTCAGTTAGCATTTCTGTGTGGAGTTTGCATTTTCTTCCCGTATTGGCGTGGGTTTCCTCCGGGTGCTGGGGTATTGTGTTGTGGCGCTATAGGGGAATTGAATAAATATTTGCCATAGTGTATGTGTGTGTTTGTGATTGAGAGTGTATGGGTGTTTCACATGACCCGGTTACAGCTGGAAGTGCATCTGCTGCTTAAAACATATGCCTGAATATTTGTTGGTTCATTCCCCTGTGGAGACTTATCCCAATGAAAATTAATAAATGAATTGCTAGTCATAAACATTTCTCATTTGGTTTGATTCACAATGTAAAATAGTTGTGATAGCCTATTATTAGCTACACACATATGCAATTCAGAAATATTTTGTAATATAAAGACTTTAATTCAAAGTGTGCAACCTAAATTATACTAATTAAAACTGTGGAATGCACGATTGGGAAATTTCTAGCAAGACGATAATCCATCTGTGCACAAATGCATGCTCTCACCAAACATTTCAGTGATCCCGACAGCATTCTTTAAACCTGTGTGCTTAAAAAATAATCGACCGTAATAATTAGATTTAAACAAAGTTACATGTAAGAAGTTATAACGTGAAAATGAAACATGTTCTTATATAAATATGCGAACTTACACGCAGGGTTGCGTTTCCCAAAAGGATTAAAGAAGTATTTACGGGCTGTTTTAAAAGCGAGCGCCCATGCAGTATTCCCCACAGAGCCTGTGAGGGTATTGAAACGGACACAGACACGTGCAGCCACCTGCGGGACAACTGCAAAATTACATCCGAACATGGACGACTGTAATGTTTGAATCTTTACATTTATCTACGTCATTAATGAAAGCGCAAAATTGATTACGTTAATACATGACAATTACATAAACATACTGATTAATAATATACTTTAATAATAGAGATGTGAAGGGCAAAGTGCAGAGCTTGATTGATACATTTTAGCTACCACTACTTTAATCAGTTTTTTAACATATAATACTGGCAGAATAGTGTGAATATAGTATCAGTATTTTATTCAGTATTGGATCAGTCACAGGGCAATCATATCACCAAAGGATATTGGAAGCTTGTACTGCAATCAAATGACCAAAGCAGTGTGTACACATAACACACTGTTCCATACAAAAGTATTACCAAATTGTTTGCAGTCAATTAGATTCTTCTTCTTTTTATTATTATTAAATGCTAGAAAATTATTAAATTATCAAGTATAGCAAGAAAAGAAACTTGTCATTTTGAATATTTTCTAAAAGCAAATAACTCATACAGCTAAAGCTTAAGGTTGAATGATCTGAGCACTTCACAAGAATCCATTCGTTCATTTTCCTTCGGCTTAGTCTCTATTTCACAGTGGAATGAACCGCCAACTATTCCGGCATATGTTTTATGCAGCAAATGCCCTTCCAGCCGCAACCCAGTAGTGGGAAAACACCCATACACACATTCACTCATACACTACAGCCTTTACTTCATCCAATTCACAACATTTTTGAGGCATGTAAACAAAAAAAGTGGTCCCAACATATTTCCATAGCTTCCGAGAATCCAAAAAAAGCCACATATTGATAAATAATGTTATGGGAGCTGTTTAAACATTAAGTTATTAATTTAATTGCCTCTTGTTACAGTTATAAAATAGTTTGATAACCAGCAGGACCAACACAATCTCACGGCAATTCGTAACTTTTTGATTTAGTGGCTAATTCGTATGAATTTGTAGGATCTAATTCATACAATTTAGTACGACTTGCTTATCTCCTAATGACGGTTGGGTTTAGGGGTGGGGATAGGTGCCATACCTAAGTCACCAGATTGATTCCAGTTTGAAATGGATTGGGTGCAGTAGGACTGGCTGGGTTACATTGGTGCCGTGACCTGGATGGGAGTGAAGTTTGGGGGTGAGTGTAGCGGAGGCCAGCCAGTGAAGTGCTGTGCAGGTAAACCTCTCTCCTCTGACCTCTAAAGGTGCTCTATGCTTGAGGCCATGGTCTTTAGCTTCCTTGTTAGAGCAACTGACACCCATGCCGACGGTCACCGGTTCGATTCCAGTTTGAAACGGATTGGGTGCAGTAGGACCGGCGGGTTTACATTGGTGCCGTGACCCAGATGGGTAATGAGATTTGGGGGTGAGTGTAGCGGAGGCCAGCTCGTGACATGCTGTGCAGGTAAACCTCACTCCTCTTACCTCTAAAGGTGCTCTAGCGACAGACACTAGAGGCCATGGTCTTTAGCCTCCTTGTTAGAGCAACTGACACCCATGCGGATGGTCATCGGTTCGATCCCAGCTCGGAACGAGTTGGGCGCAGTAGGACTGGCAGGGTTACATTGGTGCCGGGACCTGGATGGGAGTGAGGTTTGGGGGGTGAGTGTAGTGGAGGCCAGCTAGTGACGTGCTGTGCAGGTAAACCTCACTCCTCTGACCTCTAAAGATGCTCTAAGAGGCGCTAGATGCCATGCACTTTAGCCTCCTTGTTAGAGCAACTGACTCCCATGCAGAGGGTAACTGGTTCGATCCTAGCTCGGAGTGGGTTTGGTGCAGTAGGACTAGTGGGTTTACAATAGCACAACTAATTTGCATCTTGCAACACTGACAGTGGTATTGAACTGTAATTAAAACTGAGTAAGGACTTTGATTTATTGATCTTGTTTCAGGCTGATGAACTTAAAAGTATTGATGATCTGTATTAGGCTGCTTTTGACACTAATTGTAATAGAAATAAAGACGACTAGACCTTCAC